GGCAAACACACTTATTCACTCCTGGAGGATATGCACTGTTACAGTTTGTGCAATACGCTGAGTTATAATGCATGCCATATTTCCATAATCGTTTCCTTATGTCGCAACGGCATTTTGTCGGCGACAGTGAGTGCAATTGCAGCCCGCCGGGATACACGTGTTCGTCGTCACGTTTGTCGCGCGACCGTTTCCCTAATTGTTATGCCCGTTTTTAAATTATATCTTTTTGAAACAATACGACGACAGGAGAACTTGGAGGAATTAAGCGGGAGAATTGATACCTTTAGAATTAACTTGTAATCCCAACGTACTCAGAAAAGCCATACACGAACGGTAATATATTATAAAGTGAACGTTTATACGAGATAATGATTTTTCCGAAAAATAATGTCACTCTGCGAAATATGTAATCTATATATAGACGTGTAGACCGACGTGTAAAAAAAGTTACACATAGAAACATGATTACTCTCCTGCAATCTCTCCTACGACATTATCGAAAGGTCAACATGGGACTTGTTGCATTGCCCACGGATATTTCTGTTTGCACTTAAAAGTCGTATATTATGACCATCTCAGGCATTTAGTTATGTAATTGGCTATAATATACGCAATGTAGTTGGATACATTTATACAATCATTTCATCATTACGGCAGATAGAGATTCAGAAGTGCACACAGATAACCAATTCTTGCTTCCTTTCCAAGTGAGTTTTAATTTCATAGAATATTAACTCTTAAATCGCGATCGCGTTAATGTACGAAATAAAGAAATGCCGACAAAGATAATGTTCCGTGTAATCCTCGCCGAGGAAAAGACGTCCTTTATAAATTTGCTAGAGAATCCGTAGACAAAGAAACAATCAGAGAATGGATAATGTTCGAAGATGAAGTCAGGTTTAACCTTTGCCATAATAACAGCGATAATAAATCGTGACGGTAAAGAGCCTTCGCAGCCGCTCGTGCAGCCTGAGAAATCATAAATAGCGACGTCAAAATTCTTCTCTCCTCGCTGCGCGCTACATTTTTTTTTCGTTCGTCGAAGATAGGAATCATTCGTTTGTTACTTTCCTTCCGCAATAACGATAACGGTTTCGCTGCGAATGAGGAAAGTGCCAACCGTTGTAATAACGACGACGGCCGAGAGAAACGGGAAATTCCTGATGGAATGTCGTCGCGATCAAGGATGACGGGTGAACCGGGGCGAGATCACTCCGGATTCACGATTAGAATCTCACGTAGGCACTGTCGCCAAGGTATTACCCATATACGTGAAAACGCGAATGCGCATACGTGCATCCCCGTCGTCGTCTTCGTTTGAGAGCATCCCTTCAATTTGTTACGTTTATTTTACGTTTATTTTTAACGTTGCCGCTTGTTGATTTCATCGTGTTATGTACCTCTTTTCGCGTCGAGTTCAATGTCGATTTTCTGAAATTCAGACTTGCGGATAAAAGAGCGAAATGGTACCAAACTGCAAATATGTCGTAGTTCCAAATTTCTCTGTTTTTCTGAAAAAAAATTTTTAAAGTATTTGTACTTTTCGCAATAAATTTTCTGCATTGACAGAGAAATTAACAAATGTGGCCGGCCGTGGTCGAATAAAATTTGGAATTTTAGTATTATACTGGCAATTTGAAGAAACTAATCTTTATTTATATTTAATTTCGAATATCTTATAAAGCAATTGAGTTAATACCAGCTATTCTCACGTGTGGCTTGTAAATGTCAATTTTTTAACTGGATTTTTTTACAAGCCTTTTTTTTATATTAAAACATCTTATTCTACCTATGACATTTCCATTTCTCCTCTGTCTTCTAAGAATAGCGTCGATCCATCTG